TCGGCACAGCAGGCTCAGCAGGCTATAAGCAATGCAGGCAGAAGCCGTAGCTTCACACGTGTACGTCGAATTCCATCGCATGCTCATGACATGAGAACTTCTCGCCATGTGGACTCACTCGCTGTCGGTTGCTGTGTGCTCCATTCCAGAGTGCCAAACGAACCCCTCACATTTGCTCGGTTTGCCGTGGCCCTGCCATCAACCACAAGCGCAATTGGTGTCCTGTTAAGCAAAAACCTCGAGGGAAACTGGCAGCCGCGTCTGCTGTGTCTGCCTCTGCTGCCTCTGCTGCCTCTGCTCCCTCTGTTGCCTCTGCCGCATCTGCCGCCATTTCTCAACTTCATCAAAGCAATTCCAATTTGTAACGATCGAGGCAGAAATCTGCACGAACTATGATTCTTTTGTTTGTTTTATCCTGATTTTCTCCTGATTTTCTCCTGATTTTCATTGATTTAAGCTTCTTTTTGGAGCGGCTCTCGCCGCCCCAAAAAAAAAGCTTTTTTTTTTTCCCCCCCGGGGGTACCTGCCCCAGGCTCTAAAACAAAGACGTGTGCGAACACGAAAGCGCAGCGTCAAGCTTGATAAGCAACAAGGTGCTGTTGGGGCTCAGATGTTCATGACCGACATTGGCTGCTTGGTGACTCCCGCGTCTTCAGGGCTGGTGTGTACTCATTGTGGCCATGTCCTCAGTGGTAATGTGCCCCAACACCTGTTCAAAAAGCACCATGTTCGGTGTAGTCAAGAAGACATTGATGCAGCCACGGCGCTCCTGCGCTCTGAGCAGCCCGAGGAGCCAACAGAGGATGTTGCAACAGAGGCTGGGCCTCGAGCGCCTGTGGAAGGTATCCCAATTCTGGACGGCGTGAGTTGCCCCATTTGTCAGGCATGCTTCACGACGAAGAATAGCCTGCACTTTCATTTGCACAACAAACACGTTGGTGACCCCAATATCAATCAGCCGCCTCGACGAGTCAAGCTGCAAAAGCCGCTGCGCGGTGCTGGAGCCCGCTGTGTCGAGATCATTGTGGAAGAAAGCCACGACGCCTCGGCAGCCGATGTGAGCGAAAGCGAGGAGGAGCTGGAGGAGCAGCAGCGGTTCAAGCAGTTTATCTCAAGCACCCAGGCCATGGCCTCGGAGGCTGAGGATAAGCGATGCCCGCACGGCGTTCACCAGATGCATCCGTTTTACGATAGCGTGGGCATGACGCTGATCATCAACGAGCTGAAGCCAGAGCGCATGGTCGAACTGGGCCACAACACCCCGTCGGCACTCCTTGAGTCGGGCATGCACGAGCTGTTCTGGACGGCCTACGAGCAGCTCTCGGATCAGGGCCTGGCCGCTGCTGCGGTGACGCGTCTGTTTGACGACAATGAAGGGCAGTATCAGCATCGCCCCATGCGGCAAGTACAGCCGCAAACCGTCAGCAGGTACCTGAGTCTTGGGACACGCCTGGTCCAATTTTTGCTGCTGCTGGAGGCCATGCCAGCCCTAGTGTAAGGAATTCCGGGAATGATCCACCTTCCTTGTGATGACATTAAGACGCAGTTGTTAGCGTCAAGAATTTCTGTTGGCTAGTGTGAGAGAGAGCGTGTTATTTGACTGGCGTTGTCACACAAATTTGGGGCAGATTCGATGTTGGCGAATCCAAGGTTCGTAAGACCTGTT